CTGTGAAAACCAATCTGAAGCCCATCTAACCTAAACTATTTCATTATCATCCATATCTTTTCCTCATCACAAGGGACATGCAGGCAACAGTAGACCATTCTACGAAGAACAGTCCTTCCAATGTCAACTCAATATTGTCATGTTCTCAGCTGATGGTGATACTGAACAAGTCAGATCCCAAATGAGAACTAACTTAATTGACGACAACTTTTATTTTTGAGATTTGTGTGGCGGTCAGTCACTGAAATTATTCACAAGAGCTGCCGGTGTACTCTTAAGAAAATACATTAAATGACATTATACTGTTGTCTTACCACAACCATCAGAATTGGAGATTCAATCACCATCTTTCAAATATGCAAACATCAATGAAGGATCACACTGCCTCCACTTTTAAGTCCTTTGTTCAGTTAACATGGCTGTTCCCAGTTTCCAGAGTTCCTCTTTCCAATTTCTGAACATTTTGAGAGCAAACACACAGGTTTCCTACAGTCTCAGCTTCAAGCAGTTTGCTGCTTCTGGAGCTTTCTTCCAAGTCACTCAGGACTTCTTTCACAAGTTGATTGTTGAGACTACTAAAATTGACAGCACCTTGTCACATTGTTTGAAGCTGTACGTACATTTGGTCTTCTGGATGGTTCTACCTCTGTGATACTACCCTAGGTAACAAATGCTTTTCTTCTCCTCATAGCCTTGCTGCTAATTAAAACATCATTAGCTGAAATTTTAAGAATTTTTGTTTACAAGTATGCAATCAAAATTTCAGACAAATCTGATGCAACTCTTGGTTTCAGTTTCATGTTTGTGTTCCGTATTCTTCCCTTCTTAACACAATATAGAAATACAAATGCAACTTTAAGCTATACACAGTCCTGTCCATTTTAGCACTCGTGCCTCCAAATAATAAATAATCAACTTTTGTAACTGGAGCGCTCTGCCTTCTAAAATCAGAGGGTTCAAGGCTTACACTCCACGGCACAACCTGACCACATTATGCAGACTGATATTTCAGGACTGTACTGGAGTAACATAGCACCTCCAGCAATGCAATCTGTTTGATACAAAATTAAATCTAGGCCACAGATGCTTATTTATAGAGATCAAAGCATGCTATTCTAAGCTGTTTTGGCCAACATTCTTCCCTCAACCAATGCGAAAAATCATTTAACTCATAATTCATTTCATTAACTTTACTAAGATTTTGATATGCACTGCCAGTTTGTTTTTTTTCCCCTAAATAGCTCAAGTTGAGTATTCTTCAGCTATGAAGCACTTCAGAATCCCCAAGGATGTAAACGACCTATTTTAATACAAGTCTATTCTCTCCTTACAGAAGATGACAGCACACACAAAATGTTACATTTCAAACAAGTAAAGGCCAATAATTTCCCACTTGATGGGTTTCAGCTATTGAGGTGCTATCACAAGCACCAAGCAGAAGTGTGACGAGAGACAGACAACAGAAATGTTCTACTCATCCAAAAGATCATGGTTAGTTAAGCATTACAGAACGCATTCAAAACACAGCAAGTGAGAGATATTGGGTGCTCATTACAGTTAAGTCACAAAAGCACAGCTGTTCACGGTCCAGTGTTTGGAGTTCATATTTTTAAGCAACAGTATGAACTCGCTTTCGCTTCCTCCAGCATGAGGCTTCAGAACTCTGGTTGCACATTCATGTTGGTGGAAGACGAGGCCACGGACAATACAATTATCTTAGCAAACTGTACTTTTGAGTTTACAAAAGAATGGCTCTAAATTTTAAATACACACATCCCATTAGAATTCCAACTGTGGAAAAGACCAGGTTACGTGAGGATGATTACGCAGAACTGTTAGCTTGGCATAAAGTCCATATAGGAAACACTGTTACATCAGTATGTCAGTGACACATTAAAGTTTTGAAACTCTCTCTCCACCACCTAGTGAGGTATAATGAGTGGTCAATTATGTTCAGTCGTTAAAATCCTCCCCACCTTCAACGTTGAAGTACATGGTTGAGGCTACAGATTCTAGGATATCCACTCAGTGCAAAGTGAAAGGACTACAGTACTTGCACAGGTGCATTCAATGGATACATTAAACAGATTTATTTCCTGGCAGTTCCGTTGGACAGCATTAGAATTTAAGCTTTTCCAGAGACTTAAGCTATATCCAATACACAAGTCAGTTTATACAAGAAACCCTATATTTCCTGTGAACTTAAACCAGGCCTTAAGCACACATTAAGCCATGATAACATGGAAACAGATTTGTTCCACATTATTAGATTACATTGATGGCTCACAGTGTGGGTCAGGTAAGAGCTGAGAATATATAATTGTAATAGGGCATTGGTGACTAAAACAGTGTCAGGAAACTTTGGATTGTTAATATGCAATGAAGACACGTCATTAATAACCTTGTTGCAAAAGGGATTTATCAGAAAGTGACCACGATACTCAGATTTTTTTGCGACTTCGAAAGCAATTTGGTGAATCAGAAACTTGGGTCATAAAACTTGATTGGAAGATACAAATTGAGAGGTCTTAGACTGCATGTTTCGTCTTCTGGGAAGTTATAAAACTATTGGGCACTCTTTGAAAATAATGTACCCATTTGAGACAGGTAAGGAAAAATTTGTTGTCAGAGTTACAGTCTTTAGAACTTGGCTCCTCAAAAAAAGTCTTTGGATATTTGAGGGCTTGAGGAAATACAACAAAACTCGGCCTTGAAATAGCAGTGTTCAAATGGCATGAGTCATGTCAGCTAAACAAATAACATGGGGAAACACCCAACAATGCTGCAGCAGTTAAGGAGACCAGTTTTTGTTGAATTGTTGATTTTTGTTTTTCCATAATTAAAGGTACTTTATTTTTGTTTCAAAAGTCGAGGAAACTTTGTGGTTAAATAAAGTGGAGGAAAATTTTACTCTGTATTTTACCTGGTGCTGTCCCAACACAGGAGTGTCTGACGGGTTGGGGCAGGTGGGGGGGAATCTTGACTTTTTTTTTTGCTTTGTCCTTTGTTTCCAAGAGTAGAGGGTTGTTGTTCAGACTGAAGGCCTGTGACCACTAGTGTGCCACAAGGATTGGTTCTGGGTCCACTGTTGTTCGTCATTTATATAAAACATTTGGATAAGAAGATAGGAAGCATGGTTAATAAGTTTGTGGATGAGACCAAAATTGGTGGTATAGCAGACAGTGAAGATGGTTATCGAACAGTCTAATGGGATTTTGATCAACTGGGCCAGTGGACGAGGAATGGCAGATGGAGTTTCATTTACATAAACGCGAGGCGTTGCATTTTGCTAAGCCAATTCTTGGCAGGACTTGCACATTTAATGGTAGGGCCCTGGGGAGTGCTGTCAAACAGACATACCTAGGGAGTCAGGTACACAGTTCCTTGAAAATGGTGTCATAAGTATGAAGGGTAATGAAGAAGCTATTTGGCACGCTCAGCTTCATCTGTCAGAGAAGTCTTTGGATATTTAAGGCCATATATGGAATACTGCATACAATTCTGGTAACCCTGATATAAGAGGGATGTAATTAAACTGGAAAGGGTACAGAAAAGATTCACAAGGATGTTACCAAGACTGGAAGGTTTGAGTTATGAGGAGAAGCTGGATAGGCTGGGACTTGTTTCAGAGGCTGAGGTATGACTTTATAGAAGTTTAAAAAATCATGAGGGGCATAGATAAGGAGAATAGCTAAGATCTCCCAGGGTAGGGGAGTCCAAAACTAAGTGGGTATAGGTTTAACGTGAGGGGGAGAAAGATTTAAAAGGGATATGAGGGGCAACTTTTTTCTCACAGAGAGTGGTACGTATATGGTATGAGCTTTTAGAGGAAGTGGTAGAGATGGGTAAAGTTACAACATTTTAAAGACATTCGGACAAGTAGATGGATAGCAAAGGTTCATATGGATATGAACGAAACATACCAACTCCACACCTTGTTGTCTCAGATTCTCCAGCATCGGCAGTTCCTACTATCTCCAAATGGGACTAGTTCAGTTTAGGAAACCTGGTCAGCATGGACAAGTTGGGCTGAAGGGCCTGTTTCTGTTCTGTTCAATCTGACTCTGAGTTCCCACCATGTGCATCATCATTCTGTTGCAGCCTTGCCAGTATCCATTGCTTGCTAAAAAACAGTAGTGAACTTGGCAAAGTAAAACAATGTACCCTTTAGACTGGTTACCCCACAATCAAGAACTCTGCTAAATTTTCTCTCTTTTTCTTCATTAAGGTGCAAACACTGAAGTTCTCAGGGTGGTAGTCATACCTCCGCCTCTGCTCCAATTGCTCATCTCTTCAGTTAGAAAGCTGAATAAGATGATAATTAGCAAGTCAACCAGGAAGGGCAATGTTATCACTTTGCTTCACCATTGACAGTTTATGACTTCAGCTGCCAACTCTGGACTTCCCTGATGAAACCTCTCCTTCAAAACTGAAATGTTCATGAAACTGTACAGCAGGTTGCGCTAAGTGACATTGCTTTACATCATATCACTCGAAGTTTAAAAATGATTTTCCATGAAATGAACAAAGGTCTAAAAGGGACATGGACAAGCAAATTTCTGCAGATATTCACCATCTGCCACCAACTCGGCCTTTGCAAACTTGTGGAAAAGGAGAAACTATTGGCCGTTCGATCTCAGTGACCGTGATTACAATTTGTTTTTATTAAAATAAGATCAATATACGTGGAATACGCGTGTAAAACTCCGAATCTCATATAAATGATTTAAACCACTGCGTTAGTAGTTTAAAGGTGGCACCACTGAAGGTGTCGTTATCCCTTAGTATCCTTCTCTACTCAGCAGCGAGAATTCAGCGTCATCTCTGGAACGATGCTAAACCACAGCCCGTTCCTCAGAGCCAGCTCCCAGATCCGAGAACATCCCCAACACACGGCCCGTTCCCTCGGTCCTCCCCGTCCCCCGGCCCGGCCACTCGGTCCGCCCCGAGTCTCCCCTCCCCGGCGAGGACAGTCCGGCCGCTCCGGCCCCGCCTCCTACCTGGACAGGTGTTTCAGGATTTGTTTCTTGATGAGGCCGGCCATGTTGCACTCGGCTCCGGAACCTCAGCAGCCGGTCAGGTCTTTAAATAACGTCCAGCCATTTCTTGGTAGTGCCCGCTAGCTCAGCTCACAGTCACCCCGCCGCCATCTATCACTCCTCCGCGGCGAAAAGGCCGCAAACTCCGGCCAAGATGGGCCGGCGGGGAGCGGGGACGCCGGGGAACCGCACTGCGCCACCTGTTGCTCAGCGCTCACAACACACCCCAGTGCATTAGAAGAAAATCCAAGCATTCCCTTAAATTAAATATTTGCCAACCTGGACTCAAACACAAACTGTTTGACATACTTCACTCGTTTTGAGAGATTTGCTTTCGTAAGAAATAAAAGACCTTCAACTCGTTCCTTCCTATGAATCTCTCCTCATGCCCTGTTGTTCGTAATATCTTGTCTGCATATCGTTCGAAATACATGGGCTCCCTCCAGTGTTTAACTAAGGAGTATTCTTTATCTGTAACCTCTGTGTCGACAGAATATCCATGGTGAACACTTAACGATGGCCTCACTGAATATCTGCACGTTTGCGTTAAACGTAGGATTCATAGCGTAGGCATCGGAAGCAGGAATCATAGCTGACTTTGCCTTGCCAAGCTTATGGAACTTCTTCATTAAAAAAGCAGCTAACACATTCAAGTTAAACCCCACTGACTAGGTTTCTTTCTCCTGAACTTAATGTGTGGTGGCACTGCAGGAGGACAGGAATTTTCGTACAAGTTTAGAAAGGAAAGATTGTTAACGGGCTGTTGTATGGATGTGTCTGCTCATTACGCTGTATGAGTTGCTGTTGATGAAGATTGCTACCATCGTCCTCTCTAAGTGTAGGAAAATACAGGGTCCAGAGGAAAACCATTTCCTTGTTTAACTACAAGAGTCTCTTCAAATGAACAAGATATAATTTATTGTACATTAACAAATTGTTGCAGTTTATGTTGATATGACAGACATGGTTCCAAAGGCTTTGAGAAGGACCAGATGTTAGGTCTCACTCCTTTGAGATTGTAAGATGTTCTCCCTTCAAGTCCAGATGAAGTCATCACAATACCCACCATACCCTTCAATATTAAACTTTAGAGACTGATATGCAACACAGACTACTTGTGTCTTAAGTGGACACATACCTGGCATTGGTAGAAGCAATAAACAGGCCACTGGCCTTCTAAAGTACAGGACATACACTCTGGGCAAGATGGTACAAGAGTATAACAGGAGAACACTTGGAAACCAACACACTCTCAGCTAAAAATAGGATATGCTGGAAATATTCAATAGATGGAGCAGCTTTATGGAGAAAGAAAAGCAGTTAATGATTCAGTTCGATGATCAGAGCAGGGAAAAGTAGAAGATGTGACTTATTTAAAGTAAATATTGAGAGATAGAAGGGAGGAGAGATTAGAACAAAGTGTCACTGATAGGTCATAGGTCAGGCAGATTAAATAAGAAAAGGAATAATGGTGCACTGATAAGGGCTAATAATCATGGGGAGTAAAGAGAGAAAATATGTGTCCAGTTTGACATTCAAACAGGAAGTTGTTACCAATGACTGGGGAAATCACAAAAGTAAATAGGAGCAGAATCCACCATGTGAAATTTTTGAAATCATTGTTGAATCCAGAAGACTGCAGTGTCTAATTGGGAGATGAAACATTATTTCTCAAGCTTATGCTGAGCTTCATTGAAACAGGTGAATATGGCTTAAGTTGGAGAGCTCAGATTGGCGGTGGAGGGAAAATTATAATGAAAGGTGAGTGGAAGTTTGGGGTCATAGAAACAGACTGAACAGAGGTGTTTTGCAAAATGATTACTCAATTTATATTTTGTTTCTTCAGTATAAATACAATCACATATTGGGCAGTGAATAAGTAAGCATAAAATGTGTTGAAGATTTGTGGGAAGCATTTAAAAACCAACAGATGAAAACTAAAAAAAGCAAAAAGGATGGAGAAGTTGAAATATGAGAGTAAGCTAGCTAGTAATATGAAAGAAGATTGCAAGAGATATTTTAGATATATGAAAGGTAAGAGAGAGTCAAGAGTTGATATTGTACTGCTGGAAAATGAAGTTGAAGAAGTATATTGGGGAAGAAAGAAATGGCGGAGGAACTGAACAGGTACTTTGTATCAGTTTTTACAGTGGAAGATACCAGTAGAATTCCAGAACTTAAAGAGAGTTGGGGGCAGAGGTGAGTGTAATGGTCATCATTAAGGAGAAGGTGCTGGGGAAGTAGTAAGGTCTGAAGGCGGATAAATCATCCAGACTGGATGGACTACACCCAGGGTTCTAGGGACACCCAGTGAGATAGCTGACGAGATTGTAGAGGCATTGGTGGTGATCTTTCAGGAATTATTGGAGTCAGGGAGGGTCCCAGAGGATTGGAAATTAGCTAATGTATCTGTGGTGATTGGATCAAAGTGGATCTCATTGACTATGAGATCATTGATTGTGGTTGTTATCCTGGGCCAATCAGGGAACTCTGGCTGACAGGTATAAACAGGGGATTCAGAGAGTCTCCTGACTTCAGGGACAGACTCCTGGCTGGCTGGTCGGTCACAGCCTGTGTACTGCACACATATAAATAAAGGGTGACGGGATGACGGGGTAGATACCGGTCTCTGTGCACTTATTTCAGTAGCAACGGGAGAAAACTGTACGTGCCTGAAGAATATTCGCTTGCAATAGTCGTTTTCAGTTGGGGTAAGCATTTCTGACACTATGGCTTTATTTGGGCAGCTTGACTTGTTCGGTCCTGCTGTTGAAGACTAGGCCCAGTACGTGGAAAGAATGCGATATCTTTTCCATGCAAATAACATGGAGGCAGATGAAAATCATTGAATAATCCTTCTGACTGCTTGCAGACCTGCACGACTTTTGGTTATTGGGGCTTCTCTTTCCCAGAGGGATCAGATACTAAAACCTTCCAAGAATTTGGTTAAGGAATATTACGACCCCAAACCTCCTCTAATTCTGAGGTGCTAGCGGTTTATTCAGCTGTTCAAGAACCGGGGAAATCTGTATTGGGATTTTTGATGAGGTTAAGACGACTGTCAGAGGCATGTGATTTTGGGTTAACCCTGAATGAGATGCTGAGTCAACACGGTTTTGTGAAAGGTAGGTCGTGCCTCACAAACCTTATTGAGTTCTTTGAGAAGGTGACCAAACAGGTGGATGAAGGTAAAGCGGTTGATGTGGTGTATATGGATTTCAGTAAAGCATTTGATAAGGTTCCCCATGGTAGGCTATTGCAGAAAATACGGAGGCATGGGATTGAGGGTGATTTAGCGGTTTGGATCAGAAATTGGCTAGCTGTAAGAAGACAGAGGGTGGTGGTTGATGGGAAATGTTCATCCTGGAGTTCAGTTACTAGTGGTGTACCTCAAGGATCTGTTTTGGGGCCACTGCTGTTTGTCATTTTTATAAATGACCTGGATGAGGGCGTAGAAGGATGGGTTAGTAAATTTGCGGATGACACCGAAGTCGGTGGAGTCGTGGATAGTGCGGAAGGATGTCGCAGGTTACAGAGGGACATAGATAAGCTGCAGAGCTGGGCTGAGAGGTGGCAAATGGAGTTTAATGTGGAAAAGTGTGAGGTGATTCACTTTGGAAGGAGTAACAGGAATACAGAGTACTGGGCTAATGGTAAGATTCTTGGTAGTGTGGATGAGCAGAGAGATCTCTGTGTCCATGTGCATAGATCACTGAAAGTTGCCACCCAGGTTGATGGGGTTGTTAAGAAGGTGTACGGTGTGTTAGGTTTTATTGGTAGAGGGATTGAGTTTCGGAGCCATGAGGTCATGTTGCAGCTGTACAAAACTCTGGTGCGGCCGCACTTGGAGTATTGCATAGAGTTCTGGTCACCGCATTATAGGAAGGATGTGGAAGCATTGGAAAGGGTGCAGAAGAGATTTACCAGGATGTTGCCTGGTATGGAGGGAAGGTCTTATGAGGAAAGGCTGAGGGACTTGAGGCTGTTTTCGTAGAGAGAAGAAGGTTAAGAGGTGACTTAATAGAGACATACAAGATGATCAGAGGATTAGATAGGGTGGACAGTGGGAGCCTTTTTCCTCGGATGGTGATGGCTAGCACGAGGGGACATAGCTTTAAATTGAAGGGTGATAGATATAGGACAGATGTCAGAGGTAGGTTCTTTACTCGGAGAGCAGTAAGGGCGTGGAATGCCCTGCCTGCAAAAGTAGTAGACTCGCCAAATTTAAGGGCATTTAAATGGTCATTGGATAAACATATCGATGATAATGGAATAGTGTAGGTTAGATAGGCTTCGGATTGGTTTCACAGGTCGGCGCAACATCGAGGGCCGAAGGGCCTGTACTGCGCTGTAATGTTCTATGTTCTATGTTCTGAGAGACCAGTTGGTGTGTTGGATTAATGGATGTAACCATGCAGAAGCACCCACTAGCTGAAGCCCAACTGGACTTCCAACAGGCACTGCAGCTGGCCTTGTCATTAGAAAATGCAGCAAGTGGAGCATGGGAACTATAGGGCATCCCAATGGAAGCGGACACCCTCACCTGTCCGACTGAGCTTGGGGAACACCACTTGAGTGTAGGCAAACGCAGAGCCTCATGCAGGGCATATCCTGAGTAGAGGGACCCAAGGCCAGCCCACAGCAAAACCCACAACAAAGCCAAGCATCGACCAAATGGCTAAAAATTTCTCCAGGATCTGGGACGGCGAGTCATTGTGGTTGCTGCCAGTATGCCGGACCGCAAAAGTGTCCCACTGGACCTAAATTGAGTAAGAGAACCCACAGGCTGGAATCCAGGAGAGTGCACATCCTGGAAAGTCCACCTATATCTGGCTTGGACCAGTTAAATTGCTTAGCAACATCCAAAGCACAACCAATTAACATTAATGTCTGGTTAAATGGTTACTGGGTTCTCATGGAGGTTGATATCAGCACAGCTGTATCAGTGGTTGCAGAACCTGTCTTTAACAAGATTCACTCAGGACTCCAACCCTTAAGTTTGTTGATGACACCACTGTAATGGGACAGATATCTAACAATGACAAGTCAAAATACAGAAGGGAGATAGAGGGCTTGGTGACATGGTGCAATGAAAACAATCTGTCTCTCAATGTTAGCAAAACTAAAGAACTGAACATCAACTTTAGAAAGAAAGGAGGAGAAAACACCCCCATCTACATCAACAGAACTGAAGTTGAGAGAGTGAAGAGCATCAAGATCCTTGGAGTGACGATAACCGACGATCTGTCCTGAACTTCCTACGTAAATGTGACAGTCAAGAAGGCACAATAACACCTCTTCTTCCTCAGGTGGATCAGGAAATTTGGCATGTCCACAAGGGTGCCTCACCAACTTCTGCAGATACACCATTGAAAGCATGCTGTCCGGGTGCATAACGGCCTGGTATGGCA